TTAATAAGGATTTTGAAACACTAAAATATTTCAATTTTTATAGATTTGTTTTACTAAGGGTAATTTTTTTAATAAAGATTTTAAAGCACCAAATATTTTTATTTTTATAGATTTGTTTCACCAATGACAGCTTTTTTTGATAAAGATTTTAAAGCACCAAGAAATTCATCATTGTTTTCAGATGATGGTCAAGAAGTTATGTTCACCTTTGATGTGAGATTTATACTATATAAAAATAAATAATATATAAAAAAGTAGTATTTAGTAATTTTAATTTTATTTTGAAAATTTTTAATGTTTTATTTCTAGATTGAGAATTCAGGGTTTCATTCAATCAATGCCATGGTAACAGAAATTGATATTGTTGTTAAAAAGGATAATATTGCAGTAATTTATGTTGAAGATTTAAGAGTAAGATTTTATTTATTCTACATTTACAAAATAGAATGACAGACAAAAATAATTATTTTTCTATAAAATAAAATTCATATTAATACTTTTATATAAATAATTACTATTTTTTAAATTTTTATGTTGTTATGTTTCTTTTGAAACCCAGGTTCACATTTAAACATTGACTTTTAAATAGTTATTTTGTGATATAGTTATTGTAGACTAGTGGTAACTCAGCTCACAATAAAAAGCTAAGTTCAAAATCACCCTCATTTTTTTAGAAGTACTGGGCTCAACTTGTTTCTCTGAGCAGCAACCTTGTTTAACAAAGGTCATGTTTTTGAGTTTAAAGAGAATAAATAAAAAAAGAGAAATAAAAGTATAAAAAATTTAAAAAAATATTTGTGACTTGGGTTTTGTGACTTGGTCATACTTTTGTTTTATAATAGTCCGATCATGCTTTGCCATTTCCACAGATTTCCACAGATCAACCACTATTGGCCAGACTGTTGTAGGTAGTAGAGTCAAAAAAAAGCTGTATGTCAACACAAGACTCCTTCATCTGAACAACATATTCAAAATTGATGGTAAAAAATAGAATTGACGGTAGTTCATTCCTCTTATGTAATAACATTCTTTTTGAACTTAGCTTTGAAGCGTCAATAAATATTCTCCACTCTTCAGATTTGTAATCAAAATAGAGTGGATTCATTAATCAATTGATCTTATAGTATTTCGTAAGGTCATTTTTCAGACAGAACTAAGTTGGGTCCTATAGCAGATTCCACTGCTGTAGTCTGAAAGTGATATAAATTTTCTGATAATTTTGATTCAAAGTTTATTAGAAAATCTAAAAATTTTCCTTGTAAACAAAAAACTTTTTTTCAAGGACACTTTAAGAAAGCTATTGGAAGATTTGCATTAAATGAGTTGTTCCCCTGATTCCAAACTAACTGACAAAGCTTACTTGCTTTGAATATGGAAGCATTATCCAAAGCAACTCATGGCTAGAAACAGGGTATGGGTTTTGTTATTTAATCAATCAGGCATTTTTGACTTTATCTTTACATAAATGCATCCTACGACATGCCCTCATCAACATTAAAATAAAAACAAAAAATATAAGTCAAATACAATGTTTTTTTTTTTTTTTGTATTTTTTGATGTTGATGTGTAAAAAATTGAACTTCCCTCATTGAAGGTCAATAATTAAAAATGTAGGGAAAGAATAAAAAATTTAGGGGCTTTGATGTAAAACAAACTGATAAGGTCCTATCATGATGATTAGGGATTAAAAAGTTAGAAATATTGTTAGGTAATAGGGTTTGACCTTCTACCATTATTGTTTTTAATTTTAAAGTAAATGGCATATTTAATTTTAAAGTTGTGCTTAAGGGGTTTGTCATTTTGTTGCTGCGCTCAAATGTGCCTATTGAAGTAAGTAATGATAGTAGCTCAAAGTTCTATAAATGAATCATGATAAATTACATCTGCAGTTTTTTTTTGTATGCGGAAGTAATGAAAATAATTATTAGAAAAATACACCAAAATTTCATGCAGTGACAAAGATTACAAACTTTTGATGCTTGGTTGTAGGGCCTATATTGCACTATTATTTTCTATGTAATCATTCGAATCATATTTTCGAATCATATAATCAATCGAATCATATATAATATTTATATTTCTTTAGACAGTTTGGTGTCATTTTTATATTTGGGTGCATTGAGAAATTTAAGATAAGCTTAATTTCAATGCAGCTTAATAATAAACTTTCTCTTTATAATAATCTTTATCTTTAAATTCAGGATCTCCAGAATACAGTGGCTTGGTATAATAGAAAGGCGTTGATTATTTAATGGACACATTTTTTTTTGTCAATGTAGTTGCATTGTTTTGATTTTATACTTTTATTGCATTTATTAAAGACTCACAAACAAAGTTATATGGTACAACCCAGTGATATTTTCATTAATATTAAATAAAATTAGAAATAAAATTAATTGATTTTTTTAATGTAAATAAAAACTGAAATTAAGAATTATTTGAAGAACAAAACTGAAATAATGTTGAATATCAGAAACAAAAATTTTTATTAAAATTATGAATTATTATTAACAAAATTATTGAATATAAAAGTAAAATTTAACATCATTAATTTTTTTTTTGTGACAATTTATTTACACTTCCTTTATCTTTGTTGTCTGACAACAAACCTGCTCACATGCTCTTTGGCTTGGCTGGCTTTCAATTTGCTTTGAATTTTTTTTATGTTTGACTATTACACTCAACATTATATTCAACCTTTTGTTACAAAAAATATCTAAAGATTCTAAAGAGTTATAAATTGATCAATAACAAAATAAGTTTATCAAAATTGTTGGCTTGTAGGAAATGTGAAAGTTATGTATCAAAATTTTCTATTTACAATAAAAAAACCAACACACCCACGTGTCTAGTTCAGGACAAAAATAATGAGGGCATGTGTGGCACAACTCTTGCGGAAATAATTCCGGTAACTTGGTAGGGCATTCTGAGAATACATAAAGAGATACTTAAAATTTACATTGAAGAAAAGAAAAAACAAAATGCAAAAAAAATTTTTGTAGCATAAAATTGATGATATTGATTTAACACCTTTTCTAAATAGTAAACAACCAATAACCAAGTAGCCAACAGAGTCAAGTAAACATCGACTGCATGAGGATAGCGTGATTAAAATGATTGTCAATACCAGCTACCCACTGGCATTGCTAGATCAGCAGCCATTTTGAAAGATAATAAAAATATTTTACCCAAAATTTAAATTGCCAGGTAAATAAGTACTAAATTTGTAAAATATTGTATTTTATATTCAATAATGCTTAATAATTTTTAAATGTTACAAATCAACCGAAAAGAGTGCATATAAATTTCCAGTATCCAGATTTGTGACATTTTAGGGTTAGTTGAACTTAGATTTGATTTATTGTAGTGGATTACCTAAAGTAAATATTTTATTATGGGTGTGTCTAAAGCAAAAAATATCCTTAGAAACTTAATATAAACAAAATAACGCAAAATAACTCTAAGTAGCTAAAAATAACAACAAAGTTATTATTTCACAGTTATTTTAAATTATTTTAGGTTAACCATAATTTACGTATAGTTACCGTAATTTTTGAAAAAATACCAGAATTTAAACCAAAGTTATGGAAAATTCCAGCAAGTTTACATTACCAGTAATTTGCTGAAAATTATTTATTTTAATTTTACTTCACATACTTGTCTATAATTATAGTAATTACAACACTATGTGCTATAATTTTAAATTTACTTTTTATTTTGCAACACTAATCAAGCAGGTAAACAAACATATTCATCTGCAAGCTTTCAATTGAAATACTTGTGAGTTGTGCAGGCAAAGTAACAATGTTACTTTGCCTGCAAAGTAACATTGCAGGCAAAGTAACATTGCATTGCTTCTGCATTGCTTCTGCAATGTTCAAGTCAGCATCATCGCTACTCATGGCATTTATAGCCATTTTACATGGTTGAAGAGTTGTTACTAATTCAGGAATGCTTGTCTCTAAATTATCAGGCCAATCATGTTCAAATGATTTAAAAGTTTTTTTTATAGCTGGGATCATGTCTTTGAAAGTTTTCAACATTTTCAATGCACTGTTCCATCAAGTTTTGACATCAAGAACTAGCAATTTGAATTTGATTCCAAGAGATTGAGCATTTTCTTTAAACTCTTCGACTAATTTCAGTTTGTATTTGAATTTTTTCACAATAGTTCGAACATCTTCAAGAATTTAAGTACTAGGCAATGCAGGATTGTACTCAAATGCTTTCTCATCTTCCACGTTTTCTTTATTAAAATTAACTTCAGCTTTATTTTCGTCTTCATCTTCTTTGTTTGTTTCTAAACTAAACACGCTTGGTGCGTTGCAAAAACTTTAAGCTGCACACTTCTTGAATAAATTCTAAGTCATCTGAGTTTGTCCCTAATTAGCAAATTTTTAGCAGTCTTTTGAAGCAAATTTTTGAGGCATTTTAATTACATGAAGTAATTCAAAAGTCTTCAATGTTGGGTAAATATTTTGTATTGAAAAGGTATCTGTACAATCTTACAAAATTGCTTTGTCTTTTGTTTTTCAAAACATTTCTATTTTGTGCACTTCATTACAATACAAAAAGTTGAATATTTGTTTCAATCTGTTCACAAAAAAATTGAAAATTCCTTCACCTGTAAAAATAGTTGCATTCTGTCAACAAATGATTTCTGCAGGCATTTTGACTGGTTCAAGGGCAGCAACAATGTCTTATAAAATCTTTACTTCATCATCACTTCAAATCAAATATGGAAAAATGTCAATTAATACTTTTCTAATTGAATCTTTAACTTTAAGAAACTGTTGAACCATCGACAGTAGACTGTTCCATCTTGTCCTGCAGTCAAGGATTATCTAAACTTTATGTTCCGTGCATTTTACTTAATTTTTTTTTGGATGATGTCATTATTGACCAGAGATTTTCAAAATAATTTGACTACTTTTCTGATGACAGATTGCAAGCGTGTGTTCACTTTTGGAATGTAATGTTTACATTCATGGAATCACCTAGAAAAGTGACTTTGGTGTCAGATTTGGATTTGTCACTGCTGACTTCATCTTCTTTGATTGTTACATGTAATGTATTGTTATTGATTTTTCAGAAGGGGTTCTCATACCAATTTTCTTGAACTGCCGTATGCATTCCATAAGTGTAGCTAACTTGTTGCTCAGTTAGAACCATTTAGCCTACACAGAAGTTTCATCCATAACTAAACAGGCATAGATGTTGTCAATGTTTAACATTCAATCACTTTTTCTTTGACAACTGCTGCATCTTTTTCAGCTGACAGAGATCTAGAAATACAAGTCAAACCCAGATTCCAGTATGTGTATTTTTAATGAATATTACTAATAATAAGGGTGATTGAAAAATGTTTTTAAATGTTCACTAATATTTTAAAAGTGTTTTTACAGTCATTTCTCATGTCAGCTGCAAAACAGATTGTTTGCTTGTGATTGTTTGCTTGCTTGTGATTGTTTGCTTGCTTGTGATTGTTTGCTTGTGGATTGTTTGCTTGTGACTTTTTTGGAAATCATATATATATATATATATATATATATATATATATATATATATATATATATATATATATATATATATATATATATATATATATTATATTATATATGAATTATTAAAAAAAATTATTCAATTTGAACATAAATTGTTCTACTAGAATGTTTTGATTTGTCTTATTATAAAATTTAAATTATTTCATTTTTAGCATTTAAGTGTTTTTTTAATAACCTTTTTTTCTGTGTAAATAAAACTAATCATTATTTTATTGATAATAGTTACTATTAAGTTAACAAAAAAAAGTACAAACCAAGAGTAAGTATGTTATTTTTAATTTTTATAATTACCTAACTTGAGCTCTATATATATATATATATATATATATATATATATATATATATATATATATATATATATATATATATATATATATATATATATAAGAGAGAGAGAGAGAGAAAGATATATATATATATATATATATATATATATATATATATATATATATATATATATATATATATATATATATATATATATATATATATATAGATGTTTGTTTAATTCTTTTAGGTTGATAGTGTTCAATGTGACCCAATTATAAATGGATTAAGTTCAAATAACACAAATTTTGTAAGTTTTTTTAACAGTTTTGAGTTTTTTAATAGTTTTTTCAAAATATAATGTTTATATTTTATTTTTTAGAGTCCATTGTATCAATTTAATAGCAACATAAATTTATATGGAGAAAAAACTCAGGAAAACAAATTTATAAATCACGAAAAACTGGTGGAGACCTTTTTATAATTTTTTAATAATCAAATATTTTATTTCTTTTTTTTAAGACATTAATTTATAATCATTTATTCACCACATCTAGTAACCATGTACATTATGAGTACCATATTTAAGTTATATTAAATTGTAATTATTTGCTAAGTATACTTTGATAACTATGGTAACTAGTAACTATAATTTAAATTATAAAACTAGCTCACTGGAAACTGGACCAGTAAAAATATGGGTCTTTGCAAGTCTATTCCACACAAACATTTTCTATACTTTTTTCTTATATATATATATATATATATATATATATATATATATATATATATATATAATATATATATATATATATATATATATATATATATATATATATATATATATATATATATATATATATATATATATTCAAAGATAGAGAGCTTATTGGTAGAGATTTATAAAATGGTTTGTTTTTCAGTGCTCAGTAATTTAGTGCACTGTCATCAGTGTCCTCATTACCAAGGGTTCAAATCCCTTAGCATAATACATTTTTCAATTTTTTCAATGTTACCCTCTCATATTATACATATATTATACACAATCGTTCTATTTACTGCCAGCATACTCAGCATATGCTAAAAATGTTTACACATACATGCGTTTGTACATAACACTATCCAAATGGAATTTTTACATTTGCGTAGTTTCAAATGACATATATTATTACATATATATTCACATAACTGTAATTTCCAATACTTCCTTATAAAAATATGCTGAGAGATTTTTTCTCAACATTACTTTGGCTTTAATGGCTGCTGAGAGTTGTCAAACGCACATGAGTAGGCACTATTAAGTTCAGCAATAATATATATATAAATAACTTATTATTTTACTTTGTCAATTATGGAGTTATGAGAGTTGTTTACTTTTGAAACTAGAATCAAGATTGTGAGATAATTGGTTAGGCTGCTACTCTTTCTCTTTTTTTTTTTTTTTTTTCTTTTTTGGTTATAACACAGTTTTTACGCATTGGTTACTTTGGTTATTAAAATGACTTATGTAAAGTAGAAGAATTAAGTATAGATGCTCAGGGGGCGGGTGGAGAAATAATTAACGCTCTAGTCACTCTGTGCATAGATCATATTCAAAAAAGATCAAATATTTAAATTACTGACATTAGAGACTGTTTATATCTAAAGTGTGATGGTGTGGTGAATTAGTAAGATCCGATCGGTTGTCTGGTATGGTCTCGCTATGTCATTGCCCACTTTTAAATCAGGTGAATAGAAAGCTAAACATACCACATAGCCAGCGAGTGCTGATCGACCTGCATTGTGAAGCTTACAAATTAACATGTACTGAGTGTCAGCACAGTCATTAGGTTATTGAGCATTACAACCACACACAGCATAATAACCTAATACCAGTTTTGTCATGTGGTGTACATTGGAAAAAGTTGGGGCTCATGATAAAAATAATGGCCTATGAGTTAGCAAATCTGTATAAATCCGTTGGTGTACAAAGTGCTTGTGTAACTAAAAATATTGTATAATTTAAAACAATAGAGTCAAAAAAAAAAAAAAAATTGAAAGAAAAATAATAACTAATGATAGTTTAGATAATATTAAAAAAAAAAAAGAAATGCGTTGTCTTCTTGGTTTGAACACTTATCCTTCATTTCTAAAGCAGTGCACCAATCCACTAAGCTAAAGTATTGATATGTTTACGTAAAAAACATAGTTTATAAATGTAGTATAACACATAGTCTTAGCGCTAGACAAAAATAAATGAAAAAGTTATTACCACCTGTGTTGTAGCAGGATATATGAATATCGTTTATTTTACAAATATATAATATAGACCTACCAAAGCGTTAAAAATCATGGGTGTAACCGATCTCACTGCCTGCACTCTATGTCATACTAGTCATTATTGCAATATAACAGGACCTCGCTACAATGACCAAAAAAATTAAAACCTCATCCCTATTTAGGTATAATTCCAACGTTTTTAGAGATTTCATAAGGGTGAAATATGGTGGTGAGGGATGTGGTGGTGAAGGATGTGTGCAGTATAGTAGATTAGTAATAAATTTATTGTTCTTTAATAACAAGTAATCTCTAATATTTAACTTAATCTCTAATATTTTTCAAACACTTTTGATTTATTATTGATATCATCAAGAATGGGATTTAAAATCAAAGAATGGTTGCAAACTTGCAAAGGTTGCAATTTACTTATTGACTTGTCAACAAGTAAAAGTCAAAGTGTCAAGTCTTCTTGAAAAAGAATTTGGAATTCAAGTAAGGTTCTTTGCATTTTGAAATTAATTGAAAGAGAGTGGGTTTAAAGTAAGAGTTCCATATAAAAAAATCATTCATTTCAAGATTCCACCCTGATCGAAAACTTTCATTTGCTATGAAATAAATAAACATGCTGTTATTATTCTGGAAGAAACTTTTATAGACTGACAATTCAAAATTTAATCTTATGAAGTCCAATGGAACTTAAAAAGTATAAATGATGAGGCATTCACACTAAGAAATTTATTCTATTTGATGCGTTATTCTATTTAACTTATTTATTTTTGTGAAAACAATTTATTGTGAAAATAATTTTCTGCCTTCTACTGCATCCAGTAAAGTCCACACTTTAATACTAATGCTTTATCGTAAAAAAAAAAGAATGAAAAAAACATTATTTTTTTTTGTAACAGATCTCATACTCAGATTTTCTTGTGTGTCTCAGTTGACTGAATGCCTATCCTTATTTCAGAACTATTCCACAATTATGTGACATTTCGTGCTCATTTAAATAATATATATTTTATATGTATATGTATATTAAATAAATTATATATTATATATAATTTATTTAATATATCATATAGAATTTGTATCTATCATCCATATGCTCATCTAAGTATAAAAATCAATTCCACATGTATTTGATTTTTATAATTCTTTAAGAATAATTTTCTTTAAAGATTCATACACTATTGTTAATTTTTTAAAGCCAGTCATTAAAAAACTTTAAATATATTATTATTTTAACATTTTAGTAGTTTTAGAATTATAGCTTTTTATTTTTTTGAAGATAGAATTGACCTATTTTTATTTATCTAAGGATTGTCGAAGTGGAACTTGCAAGATATATACATGTAATATAACCAATTTGGACAGCAAAAAAACTGCCAAAGTTTATGTTAAAGCCAAGCTTTTTTCTGCTAACTTAGTTCAGGTATAGTGTAACTTTTTGCTAACTTAGTTCAGATTTAGTACTTTAACAATCTTTTTCATATTTATAGTAATATTATATATATATACACAAATCCATAATAGTATATTTAGTTTTATAGTATATTTAGATTTATTATGCATATCTACATACATTAGGGTGGGTAGAAAAAAAAAAATTTTTAATGGGGACCTGCAATATATGCAAAAAAAATTTCTCCTTTATACACTAATTTTGAAAGTTATAAATGTTTATGGATTGAATAATATCTCCTGTTCCTAGCTTTTTCTTTATTTATAGGGAAAAATGAAATAAAAATTACAAAATTTTTGAAATTTTTACATAAGGTGGATATAGATAGTAATAGATGTGTAATTCTTTTTTTGTAAAAAAATTGTAAATTTTATCTTACATATCTATGCGTGAAATTCTTGCATACAACTAAGTTCATCAAAGTTAAATGACAAAAATTAAAGCTAGTTTACCTTAGTTTACCATCAAAATTAAATGACAAAAATTAAGCTAGCTAACATAGAGAAAGAAAAATATAATATATAATAATATAAAATCTCTTGTATAATTGTGGGAAAGTGTAAGAAGAGCTTATAAATCAGATGTTAATCCAAAATGCTAATGATAGTATTCCTGATTTGCAATACAGGTTATAAATATTTCAGCCTCTTCATAATGTCAAATTAAAATTAAAAAAACATTAAGTATGGCTAAGGTTTTGGGGAAAAAGCAGTAATGGCAAATTGGATAATGACCCTATGCAAATTCATTATAAAAACTAGATAAAAAAAAACTAATCTTTACACTATATATATATATATATATATATATATATATATATATATATATATATATATATATATATATATATATATATATATATATATATATATATATATATATATCATAGCGTTCTCTACTACAGGCCTATTCATCGCGCAACCGGATTTTTTTGTGGAGGCCTACTTTTTTACGGCGAAAAAATTATTTTTCCACGTTCAGACCAGATACAATGTCATGTCGTTTATGACAAATATTTAAATAATGGAATATAATACAATGTTAATAAACTTGTATAATTTAAACATGGATTTGCAGATATGATTTAAAGCAAATAGTATATTTATAAAATTTAGATTAAATCATCATGCCAAATAAATGTTGTGTGTATGCTTGTCACACCAACTATCAAAGTGAAAAAAACAAAATATCTAGTGAAGTTAATAAAATATCAGTGTATCGGTTTCCAAGTGATAACGTTGAGCGTGAAAAATGGATAAAAGCTATTCCAAACTCTAATTTGGTTGTTACCAAGTATACTGTTATCTGTGAGATACACTGGCCTCCACATTTTGATACAGTTATAGTGCGTGGAGGAAAACGTCGACCAAAAAATCCTCCTTCTGTTTGGCTAGGAATACCTTTATCTCAAATTCCAACTGGTTATCCAACTGAAAGATCTACCAAAAGATCTTTAAGTGGCATTAGAAGTACAATAGATGATGAGCTAGATACATTTCTTAAAAGGGATAAAGCTACTTTTTGTGACATTAAAAACAAGTTTATTGATAGCAGTGATCACCAATATCCAGTTATATCGTTTATGGTTGATGGCTATGTTGTTATACAATCTTTGCAATTTTTTAATGGAATACCTTTTTTTGTACTTAAAATTTATGAAAATCTTACCTTTGAAACATTTCATTATGGGATTAAGTGTCACATTTCTAGCTTAACAGTAAATCGAATCTTAACTGTTGACTCCTGGTCTAAGTTTGATGAGATACTTCGTTTTTTAATAAAAAAGAAGTAATTATGCAACATGTTTCAGTTATGGGACCAAAATTAGTTGGAGATAAACTTTATACACCTGAAATACTTATACGCTCTTTTGTATATTTCTTAACATCCAAGGGCATTATATAATCGCTTAAGAAATGATTATCAACTTCCATCTATTTCAACACTGACTCGAATTACTTCAAAAATTTCTAATATTAATGAAAACAAATTTATTTATTCAATTTTTAACTCTCTTCTGGATAAGCAGAAATTATGTATCATACTACATGATGAAATATATGTTAAAAAAAGTTTGTTTTACCATGGTGGAACTATTTTTGGTAGATCGGAGGATAACCCAATGGAATTGTCCAAAACATTGTTAGGGATTATGGCTGTTTGTTTAAATGGGGGTCCAAAGGTGTTAATTAAAATGATACCAATATCAAAATTATGATCTGATTTTTTGTTTGAACAGATTAATTTAACTAGTCAAATAATTGATTCAGTCAGTACAAATGTAAAAGCTATTATATGTGATGGGAATCGTGTCAATCAGGCTTTTGTTAAAATGTACACATTCATTCCGGGAAAACCATGGTTAACAGTAGATGGAAAGTATTTACTTTATGATTTTGTACACCTCATAAAAAATATTCATAATCTTTGGTTAACTGAAAAAACTCAGGAATTAATATTTGACGATAACGGAGCAACCAGGATTGCAAAATGGACTCATTTAAAGCAGCTTTACAATGCAGAATCCAGAAGCTTTCTAAAGTTATCTGACCTGAATGAAACTTTTATTTCTCCTAAACCTGTTGAACGACAGTGTGTATTAACAGTTTTAAGAGTATTTTCAGAAAAAACTTATGCTGCTCTTTTGCAACATCCTGACATGATACATATTGATGTTAACGACACTGCTATATTTATTAATAAAGTTATTATTTGGTGGAAAATTTTAAATGTCAAAGCCATTGGTGCTGATACAAGGCATAATGATCCTTTGCAGGCTGTTATCAACAATCCTGATGACAACCGTTTAAATTTAATACTACAATTTGGTGATATGGCACTTAAAATGGCAGGTCATAAAGGTAAGCGTATTAAACAGCTTTCTAAAGATACTGCAACTTGTATACATCAAACTTGTTATGGACTAGTAGATTTATGTAGATATTTACTTA